AAAAAAAAATATCATTTTTTTCTCGCTAGAAATTCTAGAAGTTATGAAAATACTCTAAGAGCAGATATTTATTTAGTCAAGTTTATTAATTTGAAGCAAAAAGAAATCTCAAAAATGACCTCAAGTAAAAAAAAGAGATGTTCTGAGATTTTTTAAAATGTTTATAAGATATGCAATCTACTTAGTATAGGCAGAATTCGTCCAATGAAATTTAAGATTATACAGGGTGCTTTTGTCTCTAATAACTAGTCAAATACTTAACATACTTCTTGGTATAGTGGGCTGATATTTTTATCCATGATTTTTCATTTAAGACCCAACCCACAGTAGAAAATTCAACTGAACGACTGGTACGATCTCCTGTAATTCATTTTCGATTTTTGACTCGTAAAAACAAAAGAAACACTTTTCAAAAATGAAAACTCAGAAAGTGAATGTTCAAATTTGAAGAGTATGAAGGTCTCACCCTGTTCTGCCCTGTGGACATCTTCGATTAAGAGTCCATGATTTGAAATGCACAAAAGTTAATGTTCTTCTCATTGTAATAAGCTGAAACGTCGAAAACATAAGAGAATAAATATGAACTTTGATATCTATGGAAGACCTCTTGTAACTTCAAATGTTCAGTAATAAACGTTTCTTTTAATGTTTAATCCAAATAAGTATTCTAGATCGTTTCATAGAAATCATTCGTATTATGATTCGACTTAAAATTCTAGAGGGTTGAATCCATTCTATCTTATACAGAAACTTGTGCAGTTTTGTAAACATGATAAGTTATGAATTATATTTAATTTAATTTTCTCGAAGATAGTGTATATTTTGAAATAATTCTAATCTATGAGTGAATTAGTTAAGATTGATTAATGAAATACAAAAATATTTGATTGATTTGGTGAGAAATTTCTTTTTCCCAATGTATTTAGTTCAAAACGCTTACAGTTTTGTTGTTCTTCTTGTCTGACGTAAATGAGTCGATTCCAATCAATTTGGTTATCATTAACAATGATGCTTTTATTTGTGTCTTTTTGAGTAAACTCTTGAAGTTTTTGTCGCATATCATTGATTTTTTTTCGAAGTCGATCAATATCAGTTTCAACAATATTTTCTTCTTCTCGAAGAGAACGAATTTCTTTAGTAATTGGTTCCAATTGTTTTATTATTGTTAATTTTTGATTTTCAATGAATTGAATAAGTTCATTTTGAGCTTTTTCTGCTGCTTTTTTTCACTTTATTGATTGTTGTTTGTTTCCATTGTTCAATTTGATCAAAAACATGTAATGATAAATAATTTGATTTTTCTAATTTCTGTATTAGATCAAGAAGTTCATCATGAGATCTTATTATTTCATTATCAAATGTAATCGATAGCTGTCGTTCATGTTCTTTGAAATCTTTTCGACAAAAGTGTTGTTCACATCCAATACAGAAGGATGTAGCTGAAGACTTATTGCAGATTGTACATAACTTCGAATTGTTTCTTGTTGCCATATCTCTTGAAGAAAGTCACTGAAATAATGGAATTTATTCTATATATATCTCGATCTAAAATGAATTCATTTGAATATTTATAAAGAAAAAATTGAAAGTGATTCATTTAATATTCTTCATATATGGTTCGAATCGATTCTCATTCAATTGTCTCAAATATGAGTTAATTCATTTGTAATAAAAACTGAGAAACAAAATTATAACAATTTTCAATGCATTTTAGTCAAGAGCGAGCGAGATTTCTTGTAGAAAATCAATTTATGTCGATACAAGTTAGAATTTGTTTTGTTTTTCGTAAATGACAACTCTTTTTCATTTAGTGTATCATATTTGATGATGTTCCAAATAAAAATTTAGTCATTTGTTTACTTCAAGGGCAAAAATATGTTTGAAAATTTTCTCATTTATTTTCATCAAGAATAACGTAATGTGTTGATGAATTTTTTACTATAACGAACCTTAAAAAAAATAGATTTTAGTTTTTAATTCTCTTTTTCGCTTTTTTTTCAAATGTTTCAATTAATAGAGAATTTGAAATATTTCGATAACATAAAATTACTCGTTCAAAGATTTATTTCTATACTGGTAGGTGTGGCACTTCTAATCCTCTACATCTCACACTAATAAATCAATATATTAAATAACAGAACATCTCAGGCATCATTACAATATGTGATTACTTTATTAGAAAAGTATTTCTACAATAATGAAAAACTGAGAAAGCTTATTTTAATAATAATCACAATATCAACTCGATAGGATTCTGATGAAAATACTATCATTGCATTCAAATTATTTTCTTGCATAATCAGAGTATGTGATTATTTTTTTTGTCATTCTACTATTTTTTTTCCATATGAGCATGTAGTAATACAAAAGATAACATAGGACAGATACGGCTTAATCGATCCTTGTTTTGGAGAAATATTAATTCTTATTAGAATAAACTTAAGTCAATTTGTTTTATTCTAAATGACACAAAAATGAATACTCATTCATATTTCAACAATCACAATTTCATTTCAGAATCTTTCTAGAATCTACAAAGAAAACTATCTGTCCAGAGAGAAGGACGAGTTCTGGTTAAACAGAAGACTCACATTTATTCTGAATACAGAGACTAGCTCCAAATCTATATCGATACTCATAATATTTTAGATTTGAGGACAGCTAGACTAGATGTGCTGTTTACTAAGTTATATAAATTGAAAATTCGAAAGTTTTTTCTTTGACTAAAGATGAAAAATTATCAAGATATACGTGATGAGATATTATTTTGATAGAATATGTGTTCTCACTGTCATATTTTGTTAAGAGAAAAACTTCATATTCAATGACCAAAGAATGATTTCAATTTTTATAATGTATTATGCACATCATTGAAGTCGAATGACGCGTTCAGCATTTCATAAAGTTGTAAAATCTCGTGAAAATGAATTCTATGAAGGTTGTCAATTGAATTCGACCGATCAATTACTTCCAGATAAATGATGAGAAGAGGACAATTTCTCTCTTTCTCTTTAAAATATGGATAGGCGAGAATAGAAGGCTTCAAGGAAGTATCAGAGATAGTGCACAACTAACATATGATTGGAGGATTATGTGGTATTATCCTGTTCAAGTTCTGTAATGTAAAGTAAACGACAATGAAGAAATATAGGCCAATATGCATAAAAAAAAAACAACAGTTTTTAGAACATTGGACACAGCAGCTACGTTGTGTCTCACATTTTCAATCGCGCAAGGGATTGCAGTAACAGCTTTCAGCTAAATTGCAATATTTTCAGTCAAATTTTGTATAAAATAAGTTAGAAAAAAATTCAAAAAGCCAAAAAATATCTCAAAAAACTGAAATGTAGCTGAAAAAGTGCATAAAAAATTGAGATTTTGTGCGAAAATTGGTATTAAGATTATATTACTCAAAAATCTCAAACTTTGTTCTTTTTGTAGAGAAAATTTGTATACAAAATCGACTTATTTGTCTGCTTGACTTAGAGAAACTCAACTTTTTCTATTCACATTGTTTTTACTCACAATTCGATGGTATCTTTGTTTTTGTCGCTTCGCACAAAAGACACGTTGCAAGAAATGACAAGTTGTGCAAATAAAAGGTAGAATTAAATTGAATGAGACTCATATTTTTTTTTCACGATAAAAAAAATATAAGAAAGAAAAGAAAAACGTTCGCACATCGCTACTGCAACAAATGTTGAGAAGTTGTGTCTCTGTCGGAAGTACAATTCTTTGATAGGTGACTCACTGAAATTGCAATCATCGTTTAAGAGTAGTAGTGCAATACAGCTAACATAATGCCAAGATTTTCATATAATCTTTTTGAAAAATGGCATTCATATTATATTGAAAAGGCAACATGCTAATGTGTAGTATATTATTGGGGTGTAAGCGTTGATGGGTTTGGCTGCCGCTGTGGCTGTGCCTTTATCTCATCCAATCCACAACCACAGGGTGTGGACGAAGAGATGATCAATACCCATACTCATACCCTTGTAATTCAGCGAACTGTAGAAGGATTGAAACAAAAAAATGGTCGTAAACGGATAAAAGACGGTGTATTTACGGCCATTTATGATGCAGATACAATAGGGAGCGTATTTCGGCGTCAGATAATACGGTCTAACACGGGCCGGAAGCGAACTGTATTGGCACTCTATATTGCAGTAAATATCCCATTTTTACGGCATTTATGTTCCATTTTCGGATCGTAAACGGCGTTGTTTTGATTGAGCTGGACATCAAAAAATCCAAAACATGCATTATATAAACAATAAAATGGAAATAAATATATCACAAAGCTTACGGTCTTTTAAATATGTAGGATTCTAATGAACATAAAGCAGTAAAAAACTATAAACGGAAATGGAAAAGTTCATATTTATTATAAATAACGTAATAAAATATGAGATTAACTTTTCATCTGGCTCGAAAATATTGAAATAATAATCAAAAATGGAACTGAAACAAAATGCTATCAGAGATGGAATACAATCGTTACGCTGAAGAAACCGTGGAAAACATATTTCAAATGTTTTGACAAATATGAAAACAAATATTCAATTATTTGAAACTATTTTATGTTCATATTCGTCTTATCTTTGTTTTGTAAAGAAAGCTGATGGTCACCATACTGATTATTGACCATATTCATCAAACCTTAAGAGATAAACAGTACTGTGTGTTATTTATTATTTTATATGAGATCTACTTTGAACTATTTTATGAAACGAATTTTTCTATGTCAAAATAGTATAAAATTCGATACTGAAACCCTGTCATAACCTTTACTATTTATCATCGATAAACTCCATTTTCGACGCGGTTTAATTCTATATAAAATTTGTTATGAATGTTATTTGAACTGATATAGCATTGCTTCCCTGAAAAAATATTTTTATCTATTCTGTTGACTTAGTTTTTATTTAAAAAATAAAAATTCAACAAATCTATTTGATTTTATTCTTGGAAAAACAAATCTTTCCAATGTATTTTAATTAATCAAATAAACCAAAACCCATATCTTCGTCATCACATTCTTCTTTTAAATGAGCTTGATATTCATATCCTTGACAAACAAGTTTACTATTGACGGTTTCATCTTTAAGTTTCTTATGTATTTTTTCAGCTAGTTGAAGTAATAATGCAATAGATCCTCTTTCATCATCAAATTGTTGAGCATCTTTAAGTATTTCAATTTGTTCATTTGCATGTTGAATAGCTTCATTTCTTTTTCCATCTCTGAGTAATTGTGCAATTTTTTTATCTGCATCAGCAGCTGTTTGAGAAGCAAACATAGTTTTCACACGAGGATCAATTTCTGTAACAAGTGATTCATCTTCAACAAATTTTAATGATAAAGTATTTTTGATCACTTTAGCTTGACCATTAGGATCATTTGGTCGAGTATATCGTAATTCATATGTAAGTACTTCAGTTTCGGTTCCATCAACATTTGGTGTAGCAGAAGTTGTAAATTCACATAGAATTGATCGTAGATTAGGTGAATGAAGATCACCAAGACTAGCACCAGCAACAAGATCTTCATGACCCCAGATTTTCGTAAGAATAGTTCCATTTTTGCCACGTACAATAAGACGAGCTTGTGATGCACATACACCAAATACACTTACAATAGCTTTAGCAACAATTGGTTCAATTATTTGTGATCTTCCAAGAAAGTAAAATCTTGATCCTCCAGCATCAGCAATACCTTTCATTATTTCACTATCAAAATCAGCACCAATACCAAATGAATCCGTTATAATCCCTTTATCATTATATCCACGAACAAGATTTGTTAATTCAGCTCGTGTTTTCATTCCAACATTAGCTTGTCCATCAGAAAAAAGGAACATATGACGTGAATATCCAGCATACATATATTTATCCAAAAGATCAGCACCTATCTCAATACCACCGGACATGTTTGTTGAACCACCAGCTTCAATTTCATTGATAAGAGGATAAAGATGTTGACGAGAAGATGCTCGTGCATTTTCAAAAATAATAGACACATCATTATCGTATGCAACAAGATGCACTATATCATCATCATGAAGAAGTTTAACAACAGAAACAAGAGCTTCTTTTGCTGATGCTAATTTATTATCGGATTCCATCGATCCACTACGATCAAGAACCAGTACTAAATTCAATGGTGTTCGTTCCATTGTTTCTCCTTTACTTTTTGTTTCAATATCGAAACGAACTTTTTTTGTATTCAAAATACCAGAAATAGCATTTGGATTGTCTGGAATACATCGAATTTCGATAATAGCTAATTCATTATCACTATCCATTTGAAATTAACTCAATAGTTGATTGTTTGTTTAATACGAATATAATAAATAGAATATCTTTAGAAAAGAAAATGCATTGAGATTTTATACACGAGACAAAAAAAAACACGATAACGTTGTGCAATACTTATTTTATGCGTCATGTTATTTCGCAAGCAACAGAAAAATATCTTTGTCATCGAAACCTTATCAGACAACTGTATGGTGTAACATGCAATAAAAACCTTTTCAGTAACTCAACTCATCCAGTAACAGTCTCTAATCTGTCTTGTCGGCTGATCAACAGTGTTATTCAATAAAAACACCGTATAAGATATTTGATTAAAGTATCATTCGAACTACTTTTATATATATGAACACAAATGCATTCAGGAACATCTTTATGAACATTTTAGATTTATACAAACCAATGATCATATTATGTCAATACTTGAAAATTATCTCAAAAACAAGATTAAAAATTGCAATGATAATAATATCCTCACAAAAATTCATCTTATCATTGACAAGTTAGTCAAAACCAAACAACACTTTGGTTTCTATTGTTTTTCGTTGTTTTCATTTATTTTTTATTTCTAAAATTTATTTAGCATTTTTCTCAAAATCAGTTTTTGTAGGGTATACCATTTACGTGAGTAAACTTTTCTTAATAGTAACTCAATATAAAACTGAGCATTTTTTTACTAAACAGCAGATAGATTGTAATAGAGTCTGGTTTTTGAATTTCACTTTTGCTCAAACAAAAAAATTTAAAGGAAAATTTTAAAAAATTGGACTCGTCAAGACTAACATTGCCGGAAATTTTAGTTTTATTCGTGTAGTCTGGCCAATAAAAAACATATTGAAGTTTTTGTTATATTCACGTCAGAATGTGTTCACTGGCCACAGTTTGAAATTTTTTCCTTTCGATCTTATCAATTAACGACTTTAACTTAAAATGATTTTCTATTTTTTAATATCCATGCAATAATGGATGATATAATTAGACAATTCAATAAAATTCCAAACTCACCCTCTAGAAAGGTAACTATAGGTATTAATAGAAAAGAGGAATCGAAATATTTTATATCATTCATTAGATCAGTGAAATAATTATGTTGACAGTAAGAATAAACATTAAAGTAGCATATTTTTTACCTAACACATGTATATATATATATAAAGAATAAAGCAATATTTTTCACCTTGCGCTGTCACAACTAATTTTGTCACTATGCATTTACTTTTCTTTCGCATTACTGTTTTTACTATTTAGCGAGCAACGAATGTAAATAAACACGCAGCACGTTGGAATTTATTCAAACGTGATCAGAAGAAAAACTATGGCAATATACAAGAAGTGATTTATTCAAAGAAAATTTAGTTATGCTTAATCGATATTATCTTCAATTTGAACTGGATTTACATTCATATAAACTCAAAGTCAATTAGTTTGCTGATATGGTACACAAATAAATCTTTCAATGCTTAGAATCTTCTTCTACCTTTTTTTTTTCTTTTAAACATCTGAAGAATTTGTTCGAACAATGTTAGATGATGTCAAAATACCTTCAAATATAGATTTATCAAAAAAAAAATTCCATGGACAATCCATTGCATTCACCATCAAATGTCAAGATGCCAGCTATTGTTAGCAAGTACTTTCAATACCGACAATCTTGATTCGACAGTTTGTTAATTTAATAGAGAAAGACATTATCGATTATTAATACTTACTTCTGTTAAGAGATCATTCAAACAGTTTTATTCAGCACGTGTACATCAGTAAACGTTAATCATTTATTCATTCGTTCTTGTTGATTATTAGACATTTAATAATGGTATAACTAACGAAGGAAATTTATGCTCATTTTGCTGAATTTTCAACCTACAGGGGAATATTACAAGACAAAATTGCAACAATGAATTTACTCTTGGAATTTTATTCAACAATAAATCTCATGATTCCTACAATATCCTGGAAGCGTCAGCTCAAACAAACTTTTCTCTTTTGAGAGAACATGTTTGGGAAAAAAACATTCCTTTCTCACAAAGGCTTGAAGTAGCTCATTTCTTAGGCATTCGATATCTTAAAAAGAAAACACCCAATTGAGCTGAAACTTTCAGATCTCATCAAGATCATGAGATCTATTGTTGAATAAAATTTCAAGAGAAAATTTATTGTTGCAGTTGTTTCTCGTAATATCCTCATACAAGCTGAAAATTCAGTAAGATGAGCGTAACTCGTGAAGAAAGGCCTAATGGTACCAACCTTTGTAGGATTTTATCTATCCTATAGGCCCTACCTATAAGCAAAATATGAGGTCAAAAGGACGTTATAAGTTGGAGATGTTCTCTCGTTAGCAAGATGCTGATTCATTTAGTTCGGAAAGGCATCTGATTTCTTGGAGAGTAGTATAAAGTATCATATGGAATAGAAAGAAGTTATATCATTATTAATATGTTCAAAATAAGCTTGCTAGTTAAAAAAGAATTTATTACCAAGAGAATTTTTCTCTTCACTTAGATACTAAGTAAATAAGCAGCAACAGAAAAAGTTAAATGAACTTTGATCCTTTTCTGATAAACTGATTCAATAGACAATAGAAATTATTATAAGATATGAAGAGCATAGCCTTTCTAAATCAATATTAAATAAATATGAAACTGATTTCTTCATGCATGACAATCATTAGACAAGAACAAATGATTATTTGACATTATTAAGCTCTCAAATAACTAATTGAAAAGGAAAAAAATCAAAAGATGAGTCTCAATTTTGATATATTCTTATCAATAGTAGATGTTTCAATTGTTACTCACAGTTCTCTGCATTTCTGTTTCAGATATACAAAAAAGCTAATCTTATGAGTGATCACGTTGCTACACATTTCGAAAATCTTCCCAATGAACTATTTCGAAATATCTTTGACTATTTAACAATTCGAAATCTCTATCGAACATTTGTTGGACTCAACAAACGGATCGATAATGTTCTACGATCCATCGATCATGTTTCTGTCACGTTATGGTCGTCTAAAAGTGCTAGTGATCCAGCGGTAGTTTTCTTTACACCATACATTGTTCGATTAATGGTCATCAATGATCGTCTAGCGAAAATCAATCTCACTTACTTCTCAAATGTGCGTTCCTTAAAACTCAAATATCCATCCAACAATCAGATCAATCAACTTCTTCAATCTGAACAACTGTCTTTTATTGAATATCTGTCACTTGGCTTCGTAATCGACTTGTCATCGTCATCATCAATGATAACCAAGTTACATCGTCATCTCTTCTCTAATGGATTTCCTTTCCTTCACTCATGCACTCTCAGTAATGCACCCAATCCAGTTCCAACTTGGTCTATATCACCTGCTCTTCGCTCATTGACTCTTCATGGATCTGTCGATTTATCCATCTATGTTGGCATTCTTGACTCATGTCCCAACCTTGTTCGTCTCATATTGTATGCCTTCAAAGATAATTCAACTATTTCACCAGTAGTTTCTTCTCATCATTCTCTAAATTATCTTTCCATTCATATCACTGAATGGTCAACGAATACAATGATCGATTCACTTCTTATTCATGTACCTAAACTCGAACGATTTCGTGTGAATATGCTTCCACCGGTATCCCAAATCGATTTTTCTCAACTGGCTTGTATTATTTTTGATCGTGTGCCTCGACTGTATCGATTCGATTGTGATATGATAGTGTATAAATACACTATTGATGCTGACATTGTTCATCGACTTCATCCAAGTTTCATGCACATCAAATGTAATTCAGAATATGGTCGCTTCCATGTCTTTACCAACAATGACAGCAATTTAGACTCTGATGACATGAACAAATCCAGATGAAAATATATTTTTGAAACGACGTCTAATTTTCTATGATATTTTTTAAATCCTGTAGAATGAAATCATAAAAAACTCATGAAGAAATAAATAAGCTATATAAATAAGTTGAAATCGCCAGAGATTTCGATACACTGTGTATTGATGAGTTTTAGATCAAAAGATAGTCAGAACAGGAAACATTTTATCGAATCGAAATTCTTTAAATATGAAATGTGTAATTCTTTCCAGATAAAAAGTCTTCTCAACTGACAAAAAACTTGCTTTGCAAAATTGTTTCTCTGGGACTGTTTATTTCAAGTGTGTTTTGGACAATGACATTTGTTATTTACCTTAATAAGATATCGCTAAAATATTCAAAGGATCATTTATTCTACTACACCCGTTATTTCTATGATATTTTACATTGTATTTCATATTCATGCAAGATCTGATTCCTCTCAACCAAGATAATAAAAAATTATCCTACAGGCAGGGTGCAAGACGACTAAGTAATAATGTCCTTCAAAAATGTAGGACAGAATGAAAAAAACTCGTCCTGCGACGTTGTCTGATGAGAATTATAACCACTAGAATATGTTGCTTGATCTCGAAAAGATTCGTTATCATATCCAAGAAATACATCAATATTATTAGTATCATTGTTAATATCACAAACAGCAGTTGATCGTGATTGTCAACTAAAGCTAATCGAACTTTTGATCATCAGTTTAACAGTAGATTGGCATAGTCTATCTAAAAAATACAATGTACCATCAATTCAACATCAGTAGTTGATTCTTCATGAACTTCTAAATTGTAAAAATATTTATATGTTATTGAGATTTATGTATAAATAAAGTTCGTTCTCGAAATCTTGATTTTGTCTATGATTACAGTTGGCTCATTATTTTTGTTTACAATCTGAAATGACTTATCAAAGGAATGACAAATTCCCAGAAATGTACTATTAACTAATCTACTCATTATAATGTCTGATAGAAAATTTAATATTATTTTTGTACACTTCTGTAAACTTCGATCAGAAAACTTATTACACACAATTTATTGATGTGCTTTTTCCTCATTTCTAGAGAGTTGTGTATGTACATGTGAAAGATAATACTTTGTATTTATTGGTAGCGATTGAGAATAAAGTCTGTACTCATTGATTGTTGATCTCGGTTTGTAAGTAGAGTACAGTGGGCAACTAGGCGAATATGATCGAAAATTGAGTTTGCTAAAGTTCAAATATTGGAATAAGTAGATCTATGATTAATCTATCTACTCTTAAATAAAACATCCAGAAATTAAGTCGAATGCTAAAAAAGTTCACTACAAAAAATATCTTCGTAAATCGCTAATTTTACGGAAATTATTTCTATTACCAACTTATCGAATTATTCGAAAAAAAACTGTTTGAAACGAATAATTGGCCCATAAATTTCATTGTATGAAAAAATTCTTTCGATAGAATCAGAAATGTAATGAAAAAAAAGTGATCAATATGCTGAAAGTAGCTCGAAAAATTAGTCATACGGTGTTTTGTAAACATTCAACACAATATTCATTTGAAGAACTGTTAAAAAAGATAATTCTATTGAACACTCTTGAATACAAATCATGTTTTTCTGAAAAACTCAGCAAGATCTAGTTCCCACTAATGACAAATTAATCTTTAGTAAATACTATTAGATCAAAATCTTAAACAAAATGTTAAGATTTGGAGCAGAAAATATCATATTCTTATGTCTGAACTGCATTAGACACGTTTGTATTCAAGATCTAATTAAAGATCTTGGTACAAGATAATCATAGAGGTGTCCTAACCATAGTCAAATTGGGACGAGATAAAAAAATTGTCGTTCACAGTGGAAAATGTAGTACACAGTTAAATATCAATTGTGATAAAAGGCTTTAGAAAATTTCATCAAGTCCCTATGAAGAAAACAAGAATTTTTTTTTTGCAAAATAGGGGAAAGACACAGTGAGTAGCCAGACAACAAAATTTTTTTTCTTGAGTTCTAATTTTCTCAGTTGAATTAGGCGTAAAAAAAATTGAATAATATCTCGATCGAAAGATGATCAGATAAGTTTGTTAATCTTAATGTTAATCATTATCAGAAGAAATCAATGCAATTTCTATGATGAATTTGTTATTCCATTGGAGACGTTTTTTTTTATATTATTATTTTCGTTGAATATTGTTACTATCTGAAAAAAAAAGATAAACTTAAACAATAAACTAAAATTAACCGATAATAATAAATCGTCATTATTTTTAATCTTAACTAGATCTTTATATTAATAGTGAAAAAAAAAACAATTTAAAGAAGAAAAAATGTATAAATGAATAGAGATTGAATAAAAACTGCTTGCTTATATTTAAAAAAATCTCTTCAAAATTCACTTTCAATTATTAAAAATAAGATAATAAAATAGTTATGAAGTACAAATATAAGATTTGATCTAATAACGAACAAATTTTTGTATACGGTGATTTGATCTATCTGATATATATAAATTGAGTTGACTATCAAGTTCCACAGATCGGGGAGTATTCAATAAATTAGGATCGTTTCCATAAATACCTGAAACCCCAGCAATTGTTTTACCAACAGATTCACCAGCCATGTATAGTTGTACACGATGATTGCTTCTATCAAGAATGTACATGTTACCCATAGGATCTAAGGTCACATCTCTCGGATTACGTAACAATGTTGATGTGTTTCCTGACAATCCGTTGCTGTCACCAGCTAACAATGTCCAATTACTATCACCTAATACCCAACGTACCACGGTGTTGGAACCATAATTAGCAATAAGAAGACTGTTTGACAATGAATCGAAGTGAAGACCAATAGGATTATATAATTGTGTATTATTCAATCCTGATCCATTACCGCCAGCAACCACGACACCCGAAGAAGCACCAGATGCATATGACATTATACGATGATTATCATAGTCTGCTATATAAAGTGTTCCTGTATTTAAATCACGTGCCATACCGTACGGAGAGTATAACAAATTATTTGAGTTTCCAGCAACACCTTTAAAGAAAGTGTTAAATCAACTAACAATTCTTATTGAATAACATTTGAAGAAAAAGATTGATAAATCGTCTACAGAACTGTAAATCTCTTATGTTTTCTAACTGAATTCTTTTATGTTAACTCAAATGATGAAACTTCAGAGAAAAACGACAACTTTCATTAGATTGGACTAAAACATACGATAAATTCTATAGAATAACAAATTTCAAAATGTTATTAAACTAGAAAAATGAAACATTTTTAGATGATCAAATCCAATTAGTTATTAGTTTGCTTTAAATAAAGTAAATAACTTTTACAAATGAAAATAAATCAATCAATGACAAAATAGTTTTGGATAAAGAACAGAAATATGAACAAATTTTTATTTTTAGTTTTCGCTCTTTTACCTGTAGCGTTACCAGCTATTGTTGTTCCTGTAGAGGAACCATTTGGCCAATACTGAACTCGATTATTCAAAATATCCGTGATATAAAGATTTCCATTGAAATCAACTAAAACATTCGCGGGACTGTTTAATTGATTCGAAGATGAGCCTGCTGTTCCATTTTCTAGGCCTGCGATTGTTGTACCGACGGAGTTGTTCCTCATGTATTTCTGCACTCGATTATTACCCTGATCAACAACATAAAGTGTATAAGAATAATCTACTACTGCATCATATGGCGTATTGAGCTGATTATTGGCACGACCCCCTACACCTGAAATACCAGCGACAGTAATACCCGTTGTATTCCAACGAAGTGATGCAGTCTTAGCTAAAAAGTTAGAAAAGAAATTAGTCAAATAAGCGTTCATAACACTGATAAAATATTATTGATTTTTCATCTATGTCATCGTTCTCGGACTTTTTATTATTCACACAAGGTAGAAGATCCATCGATCTTCTTTTAATTTAAATTCATCTATACTTCTTGTTTTCCATTCCGGATTTTACCGTAGTAACAGATAAACACAACAACAAAATCTTCTAATTTAGAACAAATAACATGACAAGTTTTATTTGTAAAAAAATAAAACTTATGTATTTCATTCCGATATAATATTCAAATTAATTGAACAGTATGTTAAAACAATAAAAAAATTTCTTACTTGTCGTTGTTTCGGACTTGAGCAAGAGAATAGGCAAGACTATAGCAATGGTAATAGCGATTAATAAAATACTAACGAGTGAAAATATAATAAAACATCGATATGTTCGAGATCTATAATCAAAGAATATAATAGAGAAAGTTAAATATGATCAAAAAAAATGTTCACTTTTTTTTTGTATTTTTTTCTGGTTTTTTATGATGATCTTTTGTAAGATTATATTGATCTGATGATAATTCATTGGTCTGATTTATAACAAAAAAAAAAAAAACAAAATTTCGTTTGAAGAGAAGCAATAGAAAAAACATATTCTTCTCACTTTTAGATGAGAATGATTTTTAATAATCAAATTCTATAATATAAGAAATTCATTATTTCTGATTATATTAAATGAATATTGAAAAGAGAATATGAAAAATGACCTTGTGAGGAGCTACTTTAGAAGATATTGATAAATATCTATTAGTTATGATTCTTTGTTTACGATTGTAATCTCGATCATTATTATATATTGTAGAAAGCTCATTCTTTGATTGAAAATTTTCAAATAAATATCCACTTGTTGTTATATTTCGATTTGTCTATGAGTAAAACATATAAAATTAGTTAGATCATATATGAATACAAGGAGAACAATAAAACTTTAGATGTCTAACCGAAGGTATATTGCTATGATCATTGATTGATCGATTGTCTGATGGTCGAATTCGTACATGAATAATTTCATTTGATTGTTTGATTGTTTTTCCAGAATAACAATGACGATTAATTTTTTTAACCTTTGTGGATATTGTTGATAGTCTACCTAGACAATAGAAATTTGACTGTGAATCAAATAGATAATTCTTATTAATAATAACCTGTTGTTGTTTGTGCAAGAGTTTGTTTCAACATGATGATCACTTTTTTCGTTTTTCTTGTGAAAATAAATCAATCTGTATGTATAGAACAAAGTGAAAATGCGCATATATTTCGTGTCGTTGACAAAACAAATGAATAAATAAAAAATGAATTATTTCATGAACATATGCCATAAACAAATTTGAATTTTAGGCAAAATTGGGTTTTTTTGGTGCTTCTATCAAATTCAATTTTGACAACGCAAAGTTCGTTCTCTGTTCGTGATTATTTTCTTAAACAAAGTTTGTTGAATACTAAATAGCTTTCGATCTTTTCTTTTGCAACGTCAACAATGACAATGCAACAATCGAATTATTCTCATCCTATTATCAATGATTTTACACATGAAAAATTTTATGAACTTGCTAAAAAACATATTGATGCGTTAAATCCTAAATTTCATAACAAAACTGTTATCATTCATGTGCAAAGCAAAAAAATAATCAATGTACTTCAGAACAAGCTATATATTGAAAAGGTTTTCGATTGTTTTTTCTCACAGATGCAAACAAACGTTCATACTTCATCTCATCGCTGGTCATCAAAGAAGTTCCTATGCACACATTAGCTAGCATGACAATGAGTGTGGATGAAGGGCTGTGCATATTCTGAAGAAGTACCGCATCTTATATCTTTGTCATTAAATAGATTAAAAAAAAACTTTAAATTTTGAATAAACAAATGGACTTATATCTTTATAAAAAATATCTTTTTTTTTTTTGCAAAATCAAAAATACCAATTTCAATCTCAATTAGATTCCAAACTTACCTTACATATCTATATTTAAAAAAACTCAAAATGATTTTTTCATTTAATATTAAAGTAATTAAAAAAGATTATGAAGAGTGTCGAAGCTTCTATATCAATTTTTTCTTTAATCTCAGTTATGCATAGAGCTAATTTCGACTAGGCAAAATCATACCTAATATTTATACATTTTCATATTCATATGTGATCTTATTTTAATGATTATTTCGAAAACGAAAATTCAATTAAATTAGAATTTTTGATTGCTTTTGATATATAGTTATGATTATCGATTGTGATATATGTTTCTTTTATGAATAATAAAGATTAGAAAAACTGAACTTAATCATCTCGGAATAAATCACTGGCTAGGATTTTACTTCTTTCTTCAATTAAGATTTATGTATCTTGGAAATAATAACAATCAAGAAGCGTTAGTACACGAGTGTTTTAGAAATTTTCTTTAGATAATAAATAAAAAACAGCATTTATTCAGTTCAATGATACTTCTCATTCACACATAGACAAACAAGTAAAATATCAATACATTAAGTGATAGGGGTACTTACTTTTTTCTTGATTGAATATGTAATTCGATCTATTTCTCATGTTGTTTTAACAAGCATCAGAATTGTCTGATCTTATTGAATTCATGATCGACAAATGATAAACTTTTTCTGATATTATAAGAAATTATCAAAATAATCAATGAAGACACGTATACTTTGTTGCGTATGTGTTAATAAAAATCAAGAAACTAATAATGGTTGAAGAAATGAAACTTTTATATTCATGATTGTATGCAACTATGTAAAATTTTGTGGAATGTTATAACACGTCTGATAGAATTTTCCTTTCTCAAAGATCAGTCTCCATCCATTGCAGAGATTTTTAAAAAATGAATTAATATATTATCTCGACGAAAATACTGAAAGATGAGAATTCTCTCTTCAACTTTGTATAATATATTGTATGACTATACACTTTTTATTCTATTCCTAGTAGAACAAATCACATAAATTATATAGAATAATGGTCAGATGTTATTGTTTATGAACATAGAATAATAAAATGATGAAGGAGCCATTTGTTTGAATAAGTGATCATTCAGAAAAATGCACTGTGGCAATAAGAAAATGAAATCTGTGTATGTCAAAATATTCTCAAGTGAATATTACTACATAGCCAAAGATGAATCTCCTCGGTTAATAAAAAAATTGATTTCACGGATGAAAATCATTCGAAATCATTTGAAATCAATTGTTTCCTCTTGGTGAATATCTCATAGTTCTACAAAAGACTCGAGAAACCTTTCTCGTCATAGATCAAAAATTGGTTTGATATTTAATGAAATTTTTCAGAAGATGAACAACATCACATTTTCACAAACTATCTTTATAATAGTCTAGTCTATTGACACTTGCTATATGAACTCAATCGAAACAAAAAATTCTCGTTTATTTATATGTTGGTTAATAAAATCAACAATAGAAGAATATATGGCAAGAATTACATTCACAAATATCGAAAAGCAAAAAAATAAACGTCAATAATGGAATTCCAATTAAATTCATTCTTCAAGCTACATAATTGTATATTTTCCTAGAAACACAAAAGTCAAGTATAAAATTGATTGCTGACAAGACAACATACGCATCATCTTTTGATCGTAATAAATAGTCAGATTCGATCAATCGCTCAATACATTGTTTAATTAAATGTGGATCAACTTGAAATCGTGTTTTTAGTTGATTTATGACCTAAAGAGAAATTGAAAATAACGACAATACGGATGGTAAGAAAACTTTGAATGTGATCCATTAATGAAACGCACTCCAGTGATCAGTTCAGAATGTCCCATGGTTTTGTGAGTCTTCATAATTCGTACAATAGCTGCATCGATTTCATGTCGACGACCACGTTGAACTTGTTTTCGAGTTTCTCGCTGTTCGAAATCGTTTTCAGATCCTGTTATAATCGATTTGATTTTAATGCGATGAAGTTTGGATGTAAATGAATCATTAACATAAAATCGATCACTCGATTGAATATTATTGTTATTAGATTCATTGAAAAGAATCTGTTGTGTTATATTGCCCTTGATCAGTGGTAATAAGGCACGTTCAAGGCTTTTCTCACTGATATTTGTCTCTTGATGAATTTCCTGGAATAAATAATAGAATTGCAATATTTATTTTCATTGATCTTATTTAAAGTAAATTTACAGTGAAAAGAATCTTTTTCTTTTTTTGAGTTCTATTATTTTACGCATTAAGTGCGATTCGATTTGTTTTTCTAGTATAGACTAACCTCAAATGACCATGACTCTTTAGTATTAAATAACATTAAGATAATCATTTGATAGGTTGAAACTTGTAACGTATGTTCTCGTTTTTTGATCATTTTAATTATCGTAGGTTGTGATTTCCCTTCATCGAAATCATCGTTTTTTGGTTGATCATAAAAAACTGCAGTCAAATCTGCTGTACCCAAACTCGGTTGTAATATCAATCGTCGGCCACTATGCATATTCAGATAGAAACTTTGAAAATATTGATAGACTTCATACACCATTTGTGGCAGATTATATTGATAATTCGTACTTTGGAATGGCCAAAGTCCCGTTTTTAAAACTAATACAGAAAGATCAATTCTATGCATATTGAGTGATTTCTGATCAACATAATGTCGAAATTCATTCATTTTTGCGTTGGATACAAATATATCTTCCAACATACCCTTCAACTGATTTGTAAATTGAGAAGAACATTTAGTTTTCAATCGTAATATCATATTCTTTTCCATATTATCTAATATCGGTTTATTTGAGAGAAGACGTTGAGCTAACGGTCGTTGATAAGATCGTTCGAAAATGTCTTTCTCTCGTAAATAATCCAATAACATGATCAATTTATCAAAAATAATTTCAATCTTTTGTTCTTCAACATCATTATCGATTTTCTTCATCTGATTATGGATAAATAATGAAAGATATTCTGGAATATTTTCATTCAAATTAATGAAATATTCAAGATCAGAATTGAGTCGATTTTTGAATGTCTACAAAAAATACAAAATAAGCACATTTCAATAAACTCAAATTAGGTATAACTAAAACTAATTACATCTTCATTCGAAGCTATTTTGAGAAAAGTCTCCATAATATCTTTCATCTTGAGTATATTCTCTATTAATTGAACATAGACATTGGTATTCTTGTCTTCATCTATATTCGGTATCATTTTGAGTATTTGTTCTTTGAAATCTTGATAATATTTTTCGAAAACATCTTTCTCTTTCGAATAATATAATAAGATCATCTTTTTAAACAATTCAATTATTTCTTCATGATTAAGACATGTAATTCCTTTCTTCAATTGATCATTAATTAATAATGAGAGATACTTTGTAATGTTTTCATTCGAATTGATGATATATTCAAAATGAAGTTTGATTCGTTCGGATGTTTTATCATACTTAGTAGAAATGTCGAGAAAATTATTGAATATATCTTTGAAATCGAAAAGATTTTGGACAAAAGCGTTCGGATTGTGTTCTTCTTCTCTGGCTAATACTGTTCCTTTTTCACGTAAATGATTGCTCACACAATCTGAAATAATCGAATAACCATTGGGAAATTGTTTCAAGTGTTTATAGATTATTTCAAGTTCGTCATATTTATTCGTTTTAAGTGTGTGAACAACAATTGAATTGATCATGCTCACAATACTCTCCATATGTTTTCTAATTAATTCATTTTCAAGAACTTGAATTATATGCTCTTTCGTTGATTCATCAAAACAATCGATGGCCCATTGAGTTACTGCATCAATGAGCATTGACACTTTACAGATATATTCAGATGCACTATTCTCAACCAATAATCTCTGACTTTGAAATTGATAAAATTCAGCCAATTGTCTTAAAAACGGTATTTCGAAATCTTCTTCATAAACCAGACGGCTGTTAATACCCAAATTTATTAACATTTGATAGATGCCTTTCAAAACTGTCTTATCTACGATGTCATCACGTTGCTCATTGTCAATTATTTCTAGTAGTGTCTTATGAAGACGTTCACGAGTAATCGGACATCGAACAATATTATCACGAAACAAGATAAGACCCAAATTGTATACAGACTCGAGCCTTTCTCTACTAACATAGACTCGCTCCATGTACATGAGAATGTCACGAATCGAAACTATTGCTCGACAATAATGGTCCCATACTGATTTCAGCGTAGTCAAGAAATGCGCTGAAGATGATTCCAGAATGTGTTGCCTCATCTAAACAAGAAAAACGAAGGAAAATTCTTATGGAAACAGAGCAGTAATAACGTAACGTATCGTACTTGGACGAGATGCTCGATGATCACTTCTCGAGTACCTGTGTAGAGTTTTTCTCCATAGTTATTGAGCACCAATACATAGGCGTCTCGATAAAGTTCCTCGGCCCTCAACGAAGTTGGATACTCTTTTAGAATTTCTTGAATGGCCGTCTTTAGTGAAGTATTCCAGATCTGATCCGCATATTGACGATCAATTGTCGACTGAAAAAGAAAAATGAAATATTAAAACTCATTTCTTTTATGAATAAACATTGACAAACATTCGATTGATGTGTATTTATACACGATAGAAACATTTCTGTCAGAATGTATTCGTCTTTATTTAGCGACACATACGAAAGGCATGTTGACTTCACAGATGGATATCAGTTTAGTCATCATGAATAAGCGACAGTCAAAGATTATGATCAATTTTTATTATCAATTCATTAATTGATCTGAGAAGATGTTAATTCTCGTATTTTTCATGAAATATAGTTTCTAATTAACTTTTTGCTAAGTTTTTGTTGAACATTTCAATAGACTTTAAATCAGAGCTGACCTGACCGAAGATGTCGAAATGCGACCTCTTCCCTCCAATGCTTAAAAATTTCCTTCCTTTTCTCAGCCAAACCAGGAAACTGTTTCTCATTTTTCATTAAAAATTATGTTACATCCTCCAGACAATCACAAAATTCAACTTTCTAATCGAAAAATTTCGCTACATTCCAACCAATGTTGGTTGACTCGGACTGACCCTGCTTAGAATGCTGATTTGTGAGTGTACGACCAAATACTTCAAACATTACCATATATATTGAACATGATCTTTTACAAACTAGATCCTCTACTCACTTATTTTGCTCCTATTGAACTTGGTACTCATATATTCGCGCTGCTAATTTTATAATATTCATATGTGGAATCAAGCATCTACATTTTGGTGAACAAAAGACATTTTTGTTGAAATAAAAGTCAAAATATAATTGGGAAGGAACAGTTTATCGGTATCATTCATTATGCGAAAAGACGAAGCATCATTGAATGATACTTACAAAAAGCTGACGAGACCGTATTTTAAAATTTTTGCCGTCCATGTTGTTGGGTGTTTCACTCACAATCTTTTGGATTGATGGAGTCTCTTCCAATAATGGCTTACACAAGACACAAGTTATTAACTGATTCTGTAAGTCTAATGTTTCTAATGAAAGCTTTTTATCGTATAGAAACTTTAAACAATCTGAAAAGGAATGATACAACATTAAGAAATAAAAAAACTTATCCGTGATTGAGGATTTTATGAGAAGAGTTATTGTGATCGTTTACACAATATTCCATAACTATTCTGACACTAATAAAGTAAGTTATTTCAATTATCGTTTAGTGACAACTGTTTTTCCAACAGTTCATTTATAATACTAATGCATAGAGAACCAGAATGAAAGTATTGTGCTGCTCATTTCAAATGAAATATCCATAGAGGATAATGCACGGAAAATGTGTACGGACTTCGCTTACGAATGGAGGAAAAACAAAATACATGTATGAATTTTTTGAATTTCATCCGTTTCATACATGTTGTTGTAAGGTTTGCTTTTGGTAAATGAGTAGCAGAAGAAATTGAAGGTATTGATAATGTTTCATTAGGTTGACGATCAGAATTTTTAGCAAAAATAATCGAATCATATTGAGATACATCATTAATTGTAATTATTGTACAACACGAAGAAGAACACTGACACTCTATTGTCGACAATGCCACAGGCAATAAGAGCCAGCCATACTAGTTTGACATGACATTTCGACATTGTTGTCGTATAAGAAATCTTCTTTTGTTCAAAAAGTTTCCCTAGTTGCTTTTGCTAAGAAGCTAGTTAACTGCACAAATAAGTTTCTGAATATCTGGAAAAGATAAATAATGTGAAATGTAAGAGTTTCATTTGAGAGATTATTGAAAGACAAGAAATTATATTGTTTATGTTAGAGCAATGATAGTTAAAAGGCATAATTTTATCAACAACCAAAACACTGTTGGTAGTTGGGCTGACCAATAATACTCATTTGAGGGTGTGGGTGCTTGTCCAGTGGTTCACGCACATACACCCTTTTTCTCTG